AAAATGTTCATTTGTTTTCAATATGTAACTAGGTCTCTACGTTTTCTTAGGTCTGCAAATCTTGATGGAGGAGAAACCCAAGCTTCTGTTTGAGCTGGAAATACTAGCCCTTGGACTCCTTTTATAGCAATAATTATTGACTTTAGCCCTTTTTCTTTTAGTAAGAGATGGAAAATGATAAGAAAGCAGCTCAACAGTAAAATGAAAAGAGTATAAAGATGAAAAAATAAAATGGTGAAGTGTTTTCACTGAAATAAGCCTGGGTTTGGGCCAAAATCTTATTGTGTTATCATAGTATTTTTTTTTTTCTCCTAACCTTCCACATTTCAGTCTGAGATAATGAGCGAGTGCTGAAATTGTAGAACAATATGTTTCTTTTTTCCCTTAAAAGTGAACCTCCTAGTACCCTTTTGTAAATGTGAAATACATACCTCTTCTTAGAAATAAGTAGTGTGTTATAAATAATTATCTCTATCATTACCTGTGAGATGATAGAGGAATCTCGGGAGGCATGAACTCTAACAGGAAGGGAAACGGTAGCGCCAGACTCCCTTCTTGCTCTCCAGCCCTGCTGTCGGCTTCTCTCTCAGTATACATATCATCCCTGTGTAGATCAAAGTCACAGTCTTGGGGTAGATAACCAGCACCTGGCTTATAAACTGGCTGTGTCCAAGCGAGACCATCCTACAGCTGGTTTAAAAGGTTGAATTGAAGTTAGTAAGAACGTAAATCCCATAGGTTTCCGGTGGTGGTGGAAGCCTCCTGAACTCTAAAGAGCAGAAGTTGCCTCTGGGTAGAAAGAAATCCATACCTGTGGCTTTGTCTTGGGTGTCTTGGTGTTCTTCTAGCCTGTGGGCTCCAGAACTTTGGGTAGGAAAAGTACCTGTGTGTTCGTATGCTTCAGCTGCTGTGGTGGTGATAGATGACATCTTTTTGCAACCATTCAGTGCATTTATTCATTCACTCATGCATTCATTTTATATATTAATTTTGAACTTTTACCTTGAAATAATTTCAGCCTTATAGAAGCTTTACAAAGACAGTTCAGACAATTCTCACACACCCTTTACCCAGATTCCCTAAGTGTTAACATTACCACACTTGCTTTATTAAACTCTGTGTGTATATGTATGTGTATGTGTGTGCACACGCTCATGCTATTTTTTGAAACACTTGAGTGTAATTTGCAGATATGGTACGGCTTTATCCCTACATATATCAGTATTTTTTGCTATGAATAAGCACATTCTCTAATATAACACGGTACAACAAAAAACATAAAAAAATCATTGCTATAATACTATTTAATTTATAGACTGTAATTCAAATTTTGCCAAGTGTTCAATTAATCTTTTAAATTTTTTAAATAAATTTTTTTCATTCTTTAATGAAGGATTATTTACATCCAGTAAAAATTTCCCTTTTTAGTGTATGGTTTAATAGGTTCTAGGAAACTCATAGGAGGCATCTAATGGTCTGGGCTGACCATGGTTTTCTGACCCTCCCCGAGCAGCAGGGCATCTCTAAAGGTCTGGGCCCAGGCTCATTCATTCCCACAGGTTTTATTCTGTTTCCAAGGGAACAGAATATGGTCTGAATATTTGTGTCTCCCCACTCCAAATTTCTATGCCGAAATCCTGACGCCCAAGGTGATGTGTTAGGAAGTGGGGCCTTTGGGAGTCACTTCCGCCCTCAGGCATGGGATTAGTGCCCTTATAAAAAGGTCCCTCGGAGCTGCCTTGCCCTTTCTACAATATGAACACACACCAAGAAGCACTATCTGTGAACCAGGAAATAGACCCTTACCAAATACTGAATCTACCAGTGCCTTGCTCTTGGGCTTCCTAGCCTCCAGAGCTGTGAGAAATCAACCACTGTCGTTGATAAGGGACCTCATCTAGGTATTTTGTCATAGCAGCCCAAACCGACCGGGACACTGATGCCTGTGGCTTCCCTCCCCTGGCTGGCGACACCACAAGGGAAGCTTTCTCTGGACTCCAGCTCTGCTCCTAGTCTTTCTCTTGAGCTCAGGTGAAGTCCCCAGAGAAGAGCCTGTGAGTGGACGTCATCTCCCCTCTTTCCTGTAGCTCCCTGAGGTCGTATCCTCTCACGCTAGGCTACACTCGGCCTTTGCAATTTGTTAAAAATTTTAGCTGAATTCTTCTTACTGGCTTGTATAACATCTGGCATCTCCTCTAGGTAAGTGGGTGTCCAAGTCTTTTCTCTCCTTGGAGGATCCTGAGTTTCCTTAGATGCTGAGTTAGCTGGTTGCCCTGCAACTATAACTCTATGATGAATTCAAGAAAAGTTGTGACTTCAAAGATTAGCTAGCATGTTTTGTTTGTTGTCTGGCAGAAGCCAGACATCCATTTTAAAATTTTTGATCATCTATGGATTTGATTTTTTTTTTCTTACTGTGCCTTACTAAGAAACCATTTGGAAAGAAAACTTTTTTTTTTTTTTCTTTTGGTTATTGCAAAAAAATCTATTAAAATATTAAGGTAGTTGTGTATTATCCTTAGAATTTTCTCTCCCAGAGAACAATCAATCATCTGAAAAATTAAAACTATCACATTTTGGCTCCTGTACCTGCTCTGTCCCCACTGCCCACATGGTCTGGCCAGGGACCCCAGGTGCCCCAGGGCCAGGCCTTAGCGTGCTGCATAACCTCCAGGAGGGGCATGCAACTTAATACTTTCTGAGTCTTACTAGAGTAAGTGCTTTATCAAACAGTAGCCAATACATGCCTCCTGCATTTCACCAGCTGAACAGTGGACTGTGTTTTTCCACTGTCCCATCCCGTTCTAGTCTAGGTGGCCTTAGTTTTATGAGGTTACACTTGCTTCACTGCCAAGGTTACACTTGGCCAGCACACTGGCCAAGAGGTGCTGCCTCTTGTTGGTAGGGCGCATTCATCGAGATCCCTTTCTCTGCTTGCTTTACGTTTCTTGCCACCTGGGGAATAAGACATATCCTTTTCTTGGTTGTTCTCATTTTTACTGGGCATCCAGGTTGTTTATAATTTTACAGCATAATAAATGATACTGTCATGAACATCCAAAAAAACTATCACATTTTTAGCAGGAAAGATCTAAGAGAGGAATATACTGATATAGTGACGAAGAAGCTGGGTTTGAAATTTAGATTTAATTATACCTCTGATAGACAGGTTCTTTCCTGCAGTGGCTTCTGACACATACACAAATCATTGTTTATCATTTTCCTGAGATTATAAAGAAAAAAATCTGATTGAATAGCATTCCCCTCTGCCAAGCTAAGACATGGACTTACTTGCTAAAGGCTTTTAGCCAGATAGTCTACTCTGAAAGTTAAAAGAATCCTTTAAGTACTTGGAAGGAAAACTAGTGATTTAAAAGAAAAAAAATGCCTTTATTATAGGGAAACTCAGATGCCTGGAATAGCTAGAGTGTTAACAATTATATAGAAAATGGTTATATTCTGAAGTCATGCAAAATGAATCCCTGAACATGGAACTGATTCTAACATGATAATTGGCTACTCTGAGATTTTTCCTTCAGGGCATTGCAATGAAGCCTCAAAAGCTTTCAGCTTTGCTAGGAAATAGTGTTTTTCTTAAAGGCAGCTAGCTAGTTAGTCATAAACATTTATTGGAAACTGTATTGGCTACTATAGGAATCTAAAATGTTGTAAAAGAAATAATTATTCTGAGTAATTGTCAGAAAGGTACCGAATTCTTTCTGGACCCACTTTGTCTAAATATCTAACTCTCATTGATAATTCACCATTCCACCATGGTCCCAGCTCTGTTGTTTTTCACACTGTTCTTTGGAGTTGGGACAAAGCTAACCACAGATATATTTTTAGTGTTCCCCCACAAACCTTTCATCTCCCTTGTACCTGGCCAACTGGACCTCCTAACTGATGTATCAATGGTTTGAATCATCTCCCTGACAACCCACAGCTCCCTTCCTGCCAACATACCTCATTGAATGAAGGATGTCCTCATTCACCTTCCCCCAAAATCTGAGAAAACAAATTTATACCAAGTGTCCTTTATTGAGACATCATTCTTAAGAGGATACCTTTTTTACAATATTTGTTTTTTGTTTTATTTTTGATTGGAATAGAAGATATTAGACTCTCAGGCAGGCATCTCCCATGGTCCTTCACATCACTGTGCGGGCTGGCCACCTAGTCTTCGTGTGGGCAGACCCAGACCCTTCCAACTTGCACGTGCAGGAGCAGGCTGCAGATCCATTCCCACTGGAACATGTTCTGCAGTGGGTATGATGAGGTTGGTCTGTGTTACTGACACATTCCCACCTATTCCCCTTCCTGACACCTGTGTTAGGAGTACTGTCTTTGAAAACACACAGATTTTTCCTCCTTTCTTCTGTTTGAATCTTCAGCTTGGAATCCAAGTGTTAGTTTAATGTTTAGGTCTTATCTAACTGGCACCAATCCCTATCCATAGTTCTGGGATTCTCAGTACCATCAGTGTTCCTGGTGGGAAAAGATTATAGTAGTCCCCACTTATCCATGGGGATATGTTCCAAGATCCTCAGTGGATGCCTGAAACTGCAAACAGTACTGAACCATATATATGCTATGTTTTTTCCCATGCATACATACCTATAACAAAATTTAGTTTATAAATTAGGCACAGGAGGTTAACAACGATAAATAATAACAAAAATAGAAAACTTATAATGATATACCATAATAGAAGTTATGCAAATGTGGCCTCTCTCCTCTTTTTCTCTCTCTCTCTCAAAATATCTTATTGTTCTCTACTTATTTTCCAAACGTGGTTGATGATGGGTGACTGAAAACATGGAAAGTGAAAATGCACATAAAGGCAGACTACTGTATTCTCTCAGATGTAAACTGATTCAAGAAGACCACTAATCCCCACCTACTAAGATATGGTAGATAATGCCATGGTGCGGTTTAAACCTGTGTTATTCTGAGTTACCCTTGGAAATTAATAGGAACATTCTTTCTCATATCCCATATAGGGGGAACAAGGACCACGAGGTTTTCCAGGGCCAAAGGGCACCATGGGCCTTGGCCTCTCAGGCCAGAAGGTAAGTGTTTCAGCATCTTAGTGAAATATTTAGGCTGAGGATCCTAATCACTTAACTTTAACTGTATAAGAACTCTCATATATGTGTCATGCTCCTCCTTATAACTCTCAGAGGGTAAAAAAAATCCACTTGAAGTTAAATCTTTATACATTGCCTTTTCCACCTATAAACATGCTCACTTTATAAAATCACCTTTTCTTCATTCTCAGAAGCCAGCTAATAAGGGAATAAATCCTCCTACAACATGTCGTGTAGGAGATACCAAACAACTCAGTTATCTGGTAAATTACTTAATAGTTGAATATCCTGAAGGCAGTGAGCTAATCAGATGGTGTTTCAAGATCTCTCCACTTTGAGGTTTCTGATTCATCATGAATTAGATTATGCTATCTGAAGGAATATAAATAAACTGTTGTTTGTCTCAACAAGAACAGTATGTGTTTAGGAGATACCAGTTGCAAATAAATCAAATTGTAGGGTTTTTCTCATTTGGTTTTAATATCCATTTCTGAACTTGTCTTTTTATTGTATTATGAAGGGAGAGCATGGAGAACGGGGCGATACAGGAAAGAAAGGTGATAAAGGGGAAATTGGAGAGCCTGGAGCTCCAGGAATGCAGGCAAGGAGGAGTTTTTAAAGTCTCACTATGACTTTATACTCTAACTGGTTCTGACCTATATTGACTGTTGTTATTCTTCTTCCCCTAAGTAGGGGTTACAAGGACCAAAAGGAGACCAAGGGCTTACAGTGAGTATCCCTTGTGGAGGGTGTAATTGAGGGCTTGTGCTTACAAGATTATCGCATTCATGTTTTAGCTTTAGAATTATGAATTCTTTGGATGCAGAATTCCAGTTGCTATCTAAATGAGTGTGACTGCTACCAGCCCAGTGGTGACTTAGATGCATGAGGTAATGGAATCTAAATGTGAAGGCAAAAATAACACCAGGCAGCCTGGCCTGGACTTGTGGAGGTGGGGACTACTCCCTCTGAGCCCTAGGAGAAAGGATCACCTTGTTATCATTGGCAACAAGGAGGTGAGCTGTTTCAAAGAAGCCATTTGATCAAGTGACTTTGTATTTTACATGGCCCTTCTCATTTCAGAATAGGAGCTCTCTTTTTCCTGAGCAAGTTCCTTTAGGAAGTGCTCTGCAGAGAATGGCAATCATGAAACTGGGATGACATTTATGTATTGATTCACTTATTCAATATTTATTTCTTGAGCATCTACAGACTTTTCTCTATTCTTCTCCCCACACCATTAAAAACAGAAATCTGACTCTTTAAAGTCTCATGGGTGGGAAAGGTTTAGAATTTCTGTAGCAAAGTCTAATTCTTCCTTTCTGATTTGAAGGCACTGCATCTCCTGGAGTTGAGGAGAAGGGACCTTTTCTGCTTTTCCTTTTTGTTTTTCCCATGGGTGATGGTGTGGGGTTGCTGATCCTGTGTGCTGTGCCAGGAAAGAATCCAGGCGTGAGGGGGGAGTTCAGGTGGTGAAAGCCACAGAGCTGGGCATGTGACACGCAGAACTGTGCATGTGCTCCATGGCCTGTCTGCCTTTTTCTCTTTGTTCTTCCCCACCACAAGTCAGACCTCTAAAGATGCCTTCAGTGGATAAAGCAGCAGTTCTTCCCCCAAAGTGGCAGGGGAGAGTGTATGTAAACGAGCAGAGGAACATTCCCCATGGGTTTATGCCTCCCCTCTCCCAACGTGGGGAGTGAGACTAGTTTCCTTCATCCATTTGTTTCTTCATTCATTAATTCATTCATTTCACCAACATTTACTGAGTGTGTATAATAAACCTTCCTCTGGGTCAGGCTCTGACATAGGCACTTGGGAAATAGTGGAGAATGAGACTGTGCCTCTGGACCGAAGCAGCTCACAGCTGAGTGGAGAGAAAAACAAGCAGAAGAGTTTCGCCTGCAGTGTGCTAAAAACTGTGATGGAAGAAGTGGTTATGGGGGCCCAGAGCAAAAAATGACACATGATGATGTTTGGGGGCGAGAAAGTCTTTATCTCTTGAGTGGAAGGTTTTTAACCCAAAGTCAGAGACATTAGCAGTGGGAACATCATTCTGCTGACTTTGGGTTTGTACATTTTAGAGGAAGAGACTAGCAGGAAGAGAAGAGTGAATGAAGGCAAAGAGACTTTGCGTTAAATGGTAGTCTGGTGTGTGTCAGGTCCTGCGTTAGGCCTCTTCACATCAGTACCCCCCTTCCCCAGGACTGCAGGGTGCCCGGGCCCCAAGCTTTGGAGAGCCCCACTCCGACCTCTAGTCCTTATCCAACTGCTCTCCTTCTTCCGGGTGAGGAGTCCTTGACCATCCTGCACATATGCCTCCTATCTGTGCCGTTCTCTGGAATGATGGAATTCCAGAATTCCCAGCCCAGATGGCTCTAAGTATAGAAAGCTAAGAGCACTGGCTTCTATACATGGGCCCGGCCAAGAGTGGCCAAGGGGCAGGTGTTTTCAGGGGATTTGGACAAAGCTTGGAAGTGAGGAAATGGTTCACTGCACGAGAATGCTGGCCAAGGCCCCATGTGGTGTAGGACTGGGGCAATAGGGTGCAAAAAGAAGAGGGCAGGTTGGCAGCCATGGCTTCCTCTTATCTAAGACCCCACATTTAATCTTCATGACAACTCCATGGGGTAGACAGGACCTTCATTTCAAATGAAGGCATGCTAAGTCAGAAAGGTTGAACAATGTACCCAAAGTCACCTAGCTAGCAAGTAGCAGAGTCCTTGCAGCTAGAGTTGGCCTGTCCAATGCCAAGTTCAGGCTGTTGCCCATGAGAGCTGTTCTTGAAAGACCTCTTTACCCCCTTATCTCCCGAATGAAACATATTCCCCAATAGTTATCAACCGCAGATTCATTCCAGACTAGCAAACTCCTGTTTTAAGAGGCAGATACCATTGATGAAGATAAATGTTTTAATAACCATCATAAAATTAGCTAAAAAGGCTCTGTCTCTCCACCTATCCCTTCAGTGTTAGCATCCCCAGTGTCTGCCCTCAGCCTTTCCTGTCTTTAAACTCTCAGGGAGGGGCAGCCATTAAAACACGGGGATATACAATTTGAAAAGGCTAGTTTTATAGCATATGGTAAATAACAAATATTGCTTTTATAGCATAAACAGAAAGAATATATTTATCAGATGGGGGGAGGGGGAAACACTGGTTAGAAGAGGGCTGAGAAGAAGCCTTGCTCCAGGCAACCTCGTCTTCAGTCCCTGTTTCAACAGCCAGGTGTACACTGGCGTGTCTTAAATCCGCCTTGAGCTTGGAACACTCTTCCGAGCACCAGACCTTACATCCCGCTGCCCACTGGACATGTCCAAGGGGACATCCTATAGATGGGTCAAGGTCAGCCAGGCCCATGCTGGGCTGTCATCTTCGTGAGTTCCCCACCTGCCCATTCTTCCCTGTCTCAGCCATGGCACCACCACTGTTTGCTCCCTCTCAGATACCATCCCCTCATCCTTTCTTCCACTTACTCTGCAACCTTTCATTCTTCCTTTTGAATGTCCCTCCAGGCCCCTTCTCCTCATCTGTCACCTCCACCACCACTGCCTTTTGTTATGATTTTTTTTTTTTTGCCTGAACTGTTTAAGAACCTCAAACCCCTCTGTTGGCTGCTGTAACAATCTCTCTTAAATGAAAGAGTGATCAGAGATCTTCTGTGCTTAGGGATCATGTGAGTCCCACTGCCCAAGATAATGTTTACACTCTTCAACACCACACTCAGGCCTTCTAGAGTCCATCTGTCTTCAACATTTCTTGTTGCTCTTTCTGCTATGCACCCTGAGTCATAAGTTTACCCAGGTACTGCAATGCAACGTGCTCTGTGTGAAGGCTGACACCCCCCCAACACTCCCCCCACACCCTCCACCTGGTCAGAGTCTGCCTCTCGGGACCATGATCATATCCCACCCATGAAATTCCCAGATCAACATAGTTCCTAGGCTCTGAATAGCTCTTATAAAGGTCTTTGTCTACTTCCTACTAGACCGTGAATCCTTCGATGGCTATAAATTTGATAACTTCATCATTGGCACCAAGTAGCCAAGGCAGTTACCGAGCAATTTTAGTGGAAAGAATGAACTATTCTAGTTACTTAAAAGCATATTCCTCATATTAATGAGGAAAAGATTGACATATACGACTACTTAAAGCATTTTAAACCTGATTGTGCCATAAAAACATGTTAAAAAGAGTTAAAATCCAAACTTGATATATGCATTCCTCTTATAAGTCAATAAAAATCACCGAGAGAAAAAAATGGGACATAGAACATACAAAGACTGTGCAGACGAGAACACAACTTGGAAACATGCATGCGAAATGGAATGTAGCCTCAGTTTTAATAAACACTATGTAAAGCAATGAGATATTTTGCTCTACCAAATGACAAAGGTAATATAATAATAATAACCAGCATTGAGTATCAAAAATAAAGCATGCTTTCTTGTATACTGTTGTTGAAAGTGTCAGTTACTACAACTTTTCTGAAGTGCAATTTAACAGTGTGCATCAAGGAGCCTTCAAATGACCACACATTCAACTTCAGTAACAAGTTCTTCAGAATCCTTATTAGTATGGAAAACTAATTATTATGTAATGTTAAGAGAAAAACTAGAACCGTAAGGCTTAGTGTATTGTATTTTCTCCACTTATAAAAAATTAAACATAAATATGTAAATATATACATTTCCCCTTTCTAGATAAACTTAGTATAAATATATAAATACATACATTTTCCCTTTCTATTCATGTTCTAGTTTCATATTTATTTATTGCCTCTGTAAATGTGGAAAAGCATGACAAGTCCTGAAAAAAAAAAGAGATGACTGCTGACTCCTTCATTTTATACAATTTTATTAGTGAAACTCAGTATTTGCATCGGAAGTTCTTTTTTAAATAGCCACTTGAAAGCACTGACTTTTACTTGGTTTATAGTTTAAAAAGTTAAAATACCCTGGATCTTCTCACATGTGCTACTTTTAAGATACATCACCAGCGACATCACCTCCACCCCAATTCTGTCATCATGGATTTGTTCTTTAAAATTTTACTTTTGCTATTACATAATCTTATGGGAACACCAAAAAAAAAAAAAGTTTACTTTTGCACTTGTTAAATTTTATCTTCTTTGGGTTTACTGCTTCTTCACGTTGAGATCCAGTTTCTATTACTCACCTCTTTCTGCTTCAAGGCTTTGACAAGTGTAGAATCCTGCCTTCTCTACTCTCATCCTGGTTATTTGCAAACACACTGCACAGGGCAGGGCACTGGCGGGTTTACTTGTAGGACTCAGCTTATCTCAGGCCCTTCTGATGGAGCTCCCGGGCAGCAGGATAAGGAGGGGCATTCAGGAACATGGGCAGGTTTCATGGAAGAGCCAAAGTGGGAATATTAAGAAACTGAGGAGGGGACTTGCAAAATCATGGATTAGTACAGAAAAGGAAGAGAGAATATAGGATAGAATGAGTTCTTTTTAGGTCCCAGAGCTTGTCTTAGTTGCTCAACACGTGTGGCTTGAGTCATGTAACTGAATGCGTGCATTGCACCATGCCACTGTGGGTAGTGTTAAGAGTTGCTGGACCCTGGTCCAATGTGTGCATTAACCTCACGTAATCCACACCACAGTCCTGACACACAGGTGCTATTAGGTCATCTAATGACCAGGGTCACACAACTGATAAATGCTGGAACTGCAATTTGAACTCCAAGAGTCTGAGCTGTTAAGTTTCACCACTCAAACCCATTTTAGTTATGATATATTACATCCTACTTTTAACCTCTGTGTTATTTATTTTATTTTCTGCAGTGAAAGGATTAAATCAAATGGGTCATTTCAAATGCTGATTATAATAAGATATCTTTTATGATTATAGGAAAAAATATTATAGCCATACATTTAATGTTAATACATTTTTCTTTTTTCCCCCCAGAAAGAAGAAATTATCAAGCTTATTATTGAAATATGTGGTAAGACTTAACTGTCAAGAAAAAAAATCATCACTTTAAAGCACCAGCCCCACTATATACTGTGTTGTGGGATAATGTGTTCACTGGAAGATGTACATCGTATAGCCAGTGGGAAAGTTTGAAGCTCATTTGAAAAGTCAGTGGGAAACTGAAAGGAAGCAGCAACAGAGGCTGTGGGAGTCCTGATTTAAGAAAGGAAAATCATCTTCCCAGGCTGGTTAAGGCGTGTGAAGGTGTGGGCCCAGAGCGTGTAGGCAGCGAGGTCTTTTGCAAGCACAGTGCTCATTTGTATTCAGTGACATTTACCTGAGCTCAGGAAGAAAAATGCAACAAAGGAAATATGACTAGAAGAGCCCAACTGGCATTTGAGTCCAGACTCACTGGGGATTATAATGTCTGTGTTTTTCCTGAAGCCAAGAACTCTTTCTCAATTGAGTTTTGAGTTGCACTCAATCCCAAAGGCAGGAGGGCAGTCAGGAGTTCATCTTGCTTTGTAACTGCTAAATGTGTTCATGGTTGAACACTTTAGACTTAAAATAGTTACCAGAAAGGAAGTGAAGAAAACAGATTAGCCAAAAGGCAAGAGATTAATGGAATAATCATGAGACAGTGCTCTGTGTTTAAAGTGAACACAGGCAGGAATATCGTCCTTCCAAAAAGAGAATCCCAGAACTGGCTTGTTCCCCCCCTAAAAGCTTCTGGACCTAAGAACGAGCCTAGAAGTCTCTATGGTGATAGGCCAATTTGGACATGGTTTCTGGGTTCTAGAGGGCCTGTAAAAATAGCACCCGGTTTCCTGGTGGTTTTCTGTGGTAGCGTTGTTGGGAAACATGAAGATATGAAAGAAATGAAACTCTGATAATTTCTATTTCCTGGTGACTCTGGCAACTGCTTTAAATCATTGTTTATTGGCCAGGTGCAGTGGCTCACACCTGTAATCCTAGCACTCTGGGAGCCTGGGGTGGTAGGATAGCTTGAGCTCAGGAGTTTGAGACCAGCCTGAGCAAAGTGAGACCCCTGTCTCTACTAAAAATAAGAAAACTTAGCTGGGCATGGTGGTAGCACATGCCGATAGTCCCAGCTACTCGGGAGGCTGACACAGGAAGATTGCTTGAACCCAGGAGTCTGAAGTTTCACTGAGTAAGGCTGATGTCACAGCACTCTAGTCTGCACTCTAACCTGGGTGACTGAGCGAGACTCTGTCTGACTAAATAAATAAATAAATAGAGTGCTTATTTATTGACCTAAATAGAAGTTTTCTATTGACCAGCATTCTCTGGGATCACTTCCTCAGAAGATTTCATAGTATGGATGTACTCCTGGACTCCTTGGTAACATGGAAGTCACCATAGTTGTCATTGTTGGTGACTGTGGACATAAACTAGAGTAATTAGGGGTAGCTATTCATGTGTAGTTTAAGGCCTCAATCCTTCCCCCACAATTAAAATTTTTCATCTTATTAATTCAGCCATTTGGCCTTGCTGGTGAGCAAATTTCCATTTTCATGCAAGGATATGGTTGAAGACTGAAATACCAGCTTTCAGATTCAGGTTCAGATTAAATACAAATGGTGGAGCAAAAAAGATCAAATTGGGGACAGTGGTTACCTCTTGGGGAGAAGGGATGGGATGTAACTGGGAGAGCATACACAGGGTGTGCCAACTCTTTTAAAAGTACCTTATTTTTAAATCTGAGAAATGAGCACATAGGTGTTTATCACTTTATCCACTACAGTGGGTTTTTTTTCCCCCAACATACTATTTCTTAAAAAGTCAAGTGTAGAATCCAGAAGGGAGAGAATTGTCAGCTGTCTTCACAGTCACAGAAAAGGAAGGTAATAATTCAGGTCTCAGGTTCATCCGTGCACTTCTCTCCGCTCCCCTCCCCAATGTGATGCCAATCAGTGACGCTTTGATTTTCATTCCTGCAATGTTTCTATCTGAACGTTCATCTTTTAGGTTGCGGCCCCAAATGCAAAGAGACTCCCCTAGAGCTGCTGTTTGTGATTGACAGCTCAGAAAGTGTGGGGCCAGAGAACTTCCAGATCATCAAAAATTTTGTGAAGACTCTGGCTGACCGGGTTGCTGTGGACCTTGCCACGGCCCGAATAGGCATAATCAACTACAGCCATAAGGTGGAGATGGTGGCCAATTTGAAGCAGTTCTCCAGCAAGGACGACTTCAAGCTGGCTGTGGACAACATGCAGTATCTGGGAGAAGGCACCTACACAGCCACCGCTCTCCAAGCAGCCAATGACATGTTCAAGGATGCGAGGCCAGGCGTAAAGAAGGTGGCCTTGGTCATCACTGATGGGCAGACGGATTCCCGAGATAAAAGGAAGCTGACGGAAGTGGTGAAGAACGCCAATGATGCCAATGTGGAGATATTTGTCATTGGGGTGGTGAAGAAAAATGACCCCAATTTTGAAATATTCCGCAAAGAAATGATTCTAATTGCTACTGACCCAGAGCATGTTTATCAATTTGATGACTTCTTTACCCTGCAAGGTGAGGAAGGCTGTCTGCCCCAGGGGAAAGGAATTTGCATTGTTCTTCCAAGTGCCACATCATTGGATTATCCTGACCAAACAGGGAAATTAGGAGGTTAATAAGGCTTATGCCAACATTAAACTGTAACACATAAAGTCTAGAAAGTAAAAAAGCTTAGCGTCATCCAGTTTGGAGGGGAGAATTCCTTGTCTTTATCCATGTGTGATAAGTGTGAGCTGCCCTTGGAGTTGTTTAACTGGGCTTCCTGGTCCATGGATAGGGATGAAGAGAAAGAATGGGACTTTGGAATATTGCTAAGATTGGTTAATGTTCAGAAAGTTGCCTAACTAAAATAGGGACTGAGCAACCCAGCAGCAGGACAGCAAACAGACTCGATCAAAGTGAATCAAGATGTGCATGTTGAATGAAAAAAAGTTATAGTGATCTAGAGAGATGAGAAATGCAAGTAACGGGGATTATTTTGAGGGCATGGTCTATTCTCTATTTTTACGAAAACAGATAATGATGAGTAAACAGGTTGATGTCAGGAATTTATCATAAAGAACAACCTTTTTGGATGTTCATTGTACAGTCAGTGCTAATCAGATGGGCTTCCCTATGCTAAGTTCACCCTTCCACATTAACTAATGTTTACAAAGAGGCATCTAAGACACGTCGATTAAATTAGGGCCAGCGTCACTTTACAGTGAAATTATATTCCAATTCTTTAGAAACTGATGACTCATTCTGTCAGGGCATGGACCTGGCAAGCTGGTGGAGTAAGTGGAAGTTACTCTTAATGTGGTTGCATGCTTCAGTTTGGCTCCATCCTTCCTCCTCCACCCACCTGGGTGTGGGGCATGATGTCGGGGCACACACCCTCAATGCCCCGTGCCCTGACTACTCCAGCTACCAGCACAGCTGGCCCTATGGATAGCATGCCATTCTCAGAAGCTTTCCCTTTTCCATGTCTCTCCCACTCCAGAGCTTTCTAAGCTGGAGTTCCATTTCCTCAACACCCTTCGGGGTGACTGGTGGCTTGATCTGATATATTCAATCTCACTGGGCTGTGAATGTGTTAGACTGGCCGGAGACATTTCAGAGCCAACTTAATTTTAATCATTGAAGAGCTTTGTCATCTTGCCTGAGGAGTTTGTAATTTATTATAGCCAGTGAGGAATATATTTTTGGGTTGGATGGCCTTTTACTATCCCTAAAACCAGAAGTAATAGCCTATTCAACTTATTATGAGGGAGGCTATCCCTTTATGTAGAGTAATTCACAGTTAACAGACACTTTGAACAAGCTTTTAAATCATTCTTTTTTCTCTTTGTGCCATCATATAATATTAAATTATTTTAGTTTAGATGGCCTTGTACAGATGATGTAAAATGCTTTATATAAGTCAGTTCATTTAGCAGCTGATTGTAAATAATGGGAAGTTGCTTATTTTCATGAGAGTACAGATCTCTTTAAACAGGTTTTAAGTAATGTTTCATTGCTTCTACCTATCTTCCTTTTCTACTTCTCTTTTAAAAGACACCCTGAAGAAAAAATTGTTTACAAAAATTTGTGAGGATTTTGATTCCTATCTCGTTCAAATTTTTGGTTCATCGTCACGTCAACCTGGACTTGGGATATCAGAGGAAGAACTTGGTGAACCTACTCCAGAGCCTCAAAAAGAAATTTCTGAGTCCGTAAGTGACTGTCTCTCTTACTTTGTGACCTTCAGATGGCATGTTCTGTCTGTTTTATATCAAAGACTATTTTGTTCCGCACCATCAAGAATCAGCTGGGGTATGTGTATTTTCAAGTCTTTGGCTCTAAATGTTAGTATCTTAACCCTAGGGTTAAGATTTCCAGTTCTGAAATAGCTTTGGGGACTGTAAACATGAATTTGGCATTTTTTAAAATTCTATACTTTATATGTAATTATTAAATGCTGCAAAATATTTTTATATTATACCCATATCACCACCAAAGTAATCATGTATGCTAGAAGAAATTAACACTACAATATTTGCATTTGCCCAGTTGCCATACTGTGCAGATTCTTTATATCAAGGTACAACTCTTGCTCTTCCATTGGTGCATACACTCCCCCCTTTGTACCCACTCAAGTTTTTTCAATATGTGCACATGCCCAGCTGGCATGTCTTCTACACAGCAGTTGTGCCCCACTCTGTAAGTTCAGTGAAGTTCCTGCATTATCCTTTTATGAATCCTTCATGTACATGAAGAGTCATCATGAGCAAGTGCAGTGGTATTCTAACATCAGGATTTAGCTAACAGACTTAGTTAGACTAAGGCCCCAAGAAACACCCAGATCAGTAGTTGGACCAAGAGCCATTCAGGGATCAGGCCTAGGATATCATTCCTAAGGGCACAGACTATAGGACTCACTAGATTTTTATACCCTGTTCGAAAAAGGGCAGAGAGGCTTCTAACATATTTCTATTTGATTAACTACTAACAGACTCTGAAATGGGTAATTCTAGTTGGGACAATAGAAACTTTCCCTAGATTGTAGGTTGAAATTAACACACACATTTATACCACATGGTCTATACCAGGGGTCAGCAAACTCTGTTTGTAACAGGCCATATACTGAATACTTTGGGCTTTGTAGGCCATTTGCTCTCGCTTTCAAATACTCAGCTCTGCCTTTGAATTGCAAAAGTAGCCATAGACAATACTTAAATGAATGATCATGGCTTATTTTATTAAAAAAGTCTTATCAAACTTATTTATAAAAACAGATGGTGACTTGGATTTGGACTACAGAGGTTTGTCAACTCTGGTCTATACTGAGCACTTTTTTTTTTCTTTTTTTTTTTGAGACAGAGTCTCACTCTGTTGCCTGGGCTAGAGTGCCATGGCATCAGCCTAGCTCACAGCAACCTCAAACTCCTGGGCTCAAGCCATCCTTCTGCCTCAGCCTCCCAAGTAGCTGGGACTATAGGCATGTACCACTATGCCTGGCTAATTTTTTTCTATATATTTTTAGTTGGCCAATTAATTTCTTTCTATTTTTAGTAGAGACGGGGTCTCACTCTTGCTCAGGCTGGTTTCAAACTCCTGACCTGGAGCAATCTGCCCGCCTCGGCCTCCCAGAGTGCTAGGATTACAGGCGTGCGCCACCGCGCCGGGCCTATGCTGAGCATTTTAAAATAAATTACAGACAATAATATACATAGTCTGTCTGCTGCTGGGGCCTTGTCTGTTTGTGTGACTTACCACTGTGTCCCTCACCTAGTCAGTCCATGTCCTTTTCTGAAGTCTTCCTAAACAAGAACAAGCTCAGGTTTAATCCAGGACGTGATGCTTAAATTGAGTCCTGCTCATGATCATTGAATCAAACTTTTGCTATATTAACACCAATGAATCCCAGTAGCATGTATTGATCATTTACTGCTGTGCTAGGTAGTGGCTCTTAAGACATGGTTCGTGCCTGAGACAAGCCCACATTCTATGAGGGAGATAAGTAGGTACAGGATGCGTTAGGAGTTTTAGCAGAGCTATTGAGGAAGAGAATGTAATGGAAATTGTCTCAGTCTGCTTGGGCTTCTATAACAAAGATATTATAGACCGAGTGGCTTAAACAACATTCATTCATTTCTCACAGTTCTGGAGGCTGGGAAGTCCAAACTCTGGTGTTTGTTGCTTCCTGGCTTATAGACAGCCACCATCTTGTGTCCTCACATGGCTGAGAGACAGCTCATCTCTTTCATGTCTCACAAGGGCACTGATCCCATTCTAATTACCTCCAAAAAAAGGTCCCACCTCCATATGCCATTGCATTGGGGACTCAGGTTTTAGTATATGAATTTTTGGAAGGACATAAACATTTAGTCTATCACCAGAAGGCTTCACAGAGGAGGTGGCATTGAGCCAAGTTTTTAGAATAACTAGGAATTTTTCAAGGGAAGAGTAGGGTAAAATGTGTTTCCAGCAAGGAGAACTTGTGGGGAAAGGGAGATTCCAAAGTGGCATGCCATTTCAAGGCAGTCAGACAAGTTTGGTCTAATTGTAGCATATGGTGTTTGTGTGGCAGAATGGTTAGAGTTAAAGGTGAACAGGTAATTTGAGGACTAATTATAAATGGTTTAATATGTCAAGTCGAGGAACTTGAACTTCATCCATAGGCCAGGCAGCCAGACACAGCAGAGGAGTTTTTAAAGCAAAGCTCACATGGTCATATTTGGTTCACAGAAAATATAAGTTTGGTTGCAGTGAAAGATACCTAGGTGGAGGAGGTGTGGAAACTGCAGGTGAGGAAACAGTGATAGTCCAGGTAGTAGACAGCAAGGCTCTGGATGGAAGGCAGGGCCAGTGGGAGTAAAAAAAGAGGCACAGATTGAAGCCATTTCTAGGGTAGAATTAACAGGATACAGAGATGGAATGGATTGGAGGTTGGGGAGAGGGAGGGGTTTGGGTATGACTATTGGATTTCTGGCTTCAAGATGGCATGGATTGAAACATCATATACTGAGATGGATAATACAGGCAGTAAGGTGGGTTTTTTACAGAGGAAATAATAAGTTCAGTTTGCACCATGTAAAGCAGAGGTGCCTGAGGGACATCCAAGGCAGTTACGACACAGAATTTGGAACAGCAAGAACATGTGCCTCTGTGTCATGTCCCAGCAAGTCTGATGGCTTGAGAGACAAATGACATTAACAGACTATGAAACACGAAATGTGCTAGTAGCAGGGGCAGGGAAGGCATGAGAAGAGTACATCCAAAACAGTTTATAACACCATGAGCATGTGAAGGGAAACTGAACATCAGTTAGGTCTCTCTGGGAGCTTTTGACTCCAATAGTGGGAGCTTGCAGTGAACTTGAAGTTTGTACCAGCCCATGGCCTGTTAGGAAATGGGCTGCCCATCACCATCTGAGCTCTGCACCACACCCCTCCACCCATGACACCCCACCTCACCCACAATACTTCACCGATTTGTGGAAAAATTGTCTTCCATTAAACTAGTCCCTGGTGCCCAAAAGGTTGGGGACTGCTGCTCTAGACCTTCTCACCCTTACTCTCTTTGCAGAAGCACCAAGGCAAAACTAAATTTTGAAACAATGATTTCCTAACAGATATTTAGTCTCAACAAACATACATGCATTTTATTCATATTTCATAATGAAATATGAATAAATACAGTTATGCATTGCTTAATAATGGGGACACATTCTGAGAAAAATGTCATTAGGCAATTTTTTCGGCCCCTATTGCTCCTAGGCTACAAATCTGTACAGCACGTTATTATTCAGGACACTGTAGGCAATTATAACACAATGGTAAGTATTTGTGTATCTAAACATATCTGAACATAGAAAATGTGCAATAACAGTACAGTGTTATAATCTTATGGGGCAACTGTCATTTATGCAGTCCATGGTTGATTAAAATATCGTTATGTGGTATATGACTGTGGCTGTATAGTTTACATATACATACAAACAAAAGATATAAAATATGTTTTATAAAAATGTTTTTATATCTCTGTGCATGTATACCCACCTTTATATAATAACTATAATTACAGATTTATCTAAAAGTGACTCTGTTAAAACCTTTAGATTCTCAGATTGTTCCTGATCCTACGCTAGGCAACACTGCAAAGCAAGTAAACAATTATCTCAGAAGTATCATTTCCTTTTTGGTGTCTTTCTTTTCTTTCTTGTCCCTTCTGTCACTTCCTTAGGATACCTAGCTCTGTCCTTCCTTCCTCCTCTTCTTTCTACCAAAGTCTGTTCTTAGGGGAAAATTTAATATCACCTATTCACACTTTCGTGTGAAACCTAAGTCATTGGGTTTCCATCTGAAAGAAGAAGTAACATTTAAGCATCACATCTAACTGTGGAATGAGACTTGATCCTGATTCAGATGTACTATACATATCTGGGGACAGGGAGGTTGAGAATACATAAAGCAGAAGGATTGCCCCAAATTTTACTAAATCTCTAATACTTAAGCAACCTTTTGCTCTCTTCCTCTTACAGTCCAGTTTTGGGAAGTTAAACACACACATCCATTCTACTCTGTCCCTCTCCTGTAATCTTAGGATAATTTACACTTTTTTTTTTCCTGGAATTTATCACATTTTATGTTAATAATTATTTATTAGTATACCTTAACTTTATTAATGGGTTTAAATTCCTGAGGACATGATCTGTGTCTAATTAAACTTTGTCCTACTTGTGACCTAAAATAGTGCTTTGTTTTACACATAGTAGGTGCTCAATACGTGCTTAGAGACCAAATGAATGCTATACCAAGTGTTGAGCTAAAAAAGAAATCTGAAGATTTTCTTCAATAAAAGCCATCAATTAACACTGTTTAAAAAAACACAATTGTATACATAAAAAGATCCTTATATTTGATGGGTTTCATAACATTAACACTTCATGTTCCTTTATTCTTTCTGGATTTGGCCGGTTGGGTTAAGATTTCCAGTATATAAATGGGAGCGAGGCAATAAATCAAGTAAACATCATTTGATCAGGCCAACAGGTTATATTTAGTAATGGGCCATTAAGCAAATAAGCACATTAATTTTTTGCATCAGGTCACTTTTTGCCATTCTAATTGCATTAATAAGTAATGTCAATGCACACATAGGGTGTTTATTCACTGGAGCTGATTTCTTGTAATATTTTAGACTTTTTTTCCCCTTGAAGAAATAGAAAAGA